TGTATTACAACTATTGTTCATCGGTTGAATAAATAATTTATGTCAATTTCTTGAATTTCTTTAAATAAGTTTCATGAATTGCATTACCTCCTGTAGCCAGAGAGGCGGAGTGATTACCACTCCGCCCTGGCGTAGGCACTGGCGGACTGATTACCACTGTAGATTTAGCATTTCTTTCACATACACACACACACACTTTTTGGCCGCCCCACTTCTGAAATGAATCCGGCGCCGCTGCCCATGTGCAGACTCGAAATTACCCCCAAACCAAGGACGTGGCCTCGGTGGAATTCCAAGTATGCTGGAGATTGGAACAGTCCTTCGGCGGCACTCAATGACGTAGTATCCTTGAAATATTGGATTGGAAGTCAGTTTCCTCGCGATTGAGAAACGGCCAATGTCGCCTGGTTCTCCCTCCGTGGCTTTGAGAACAAGAGACCGGCCATCACAAACTACGCCCCTTTTGTTGCCGTGTTTACCGGAAGCGGCATTCATATTTTTTCAATACAGCTCACTTATGAAAGGTAGCCTTGGTCCAAAATAAAACGAATACCCTCTCTTGGTATTCAACAATACTACAATAATAATAATAATAATAATCTAAACGAAAACACATAATTATATCTTAGTCCGTTTTTCACAGATATTAATAAATATTGACTTTCGTCTCGACACTCACTGAGGAACAATCAGCAGCTCTTTAGAGCGTAGCCTGGAAAATATTTGCCAAAATGTTATTTGTGTCCAGGGGAGAACGTGAGGAGATATGTTGCTGGTACCCCCGGTCCACCAGGACCCCCTGGTGCTCCGGGCCACGGCAGCTACGGAATCAACACCCAGGAGGTGGCTGAACGTGTTCTCACCCTACTGAATGGTGAGGGTTTGATTTAACTGTAGGTTTACATTTAAGAGGTGTTATGATGAAAGACCCTGACTTTGATTGAATGTGGATCATGTCTGTCTCTAGATAGGCAGGTGTTAGGTGTCCCCGGACCCCCTGGAACCCCTGGGCTACCTGGAGACTCATACCCAGGTAAGAAACACAATAAGAACCCATAGTCATTCAATTTACTAGTTCTCTGAAGTGAATGGATGTTCATTTTATTTTTCCAACTTCAATCAGTTGTGGGTCCTCAAGGGCCTCCAGGTGTCCCTGGTATCCCTGGTAGAGACGGTCCACCTGGACCACCAGGATTTAGCAACGACATTCGTGACTACCTGCACAGTAAGTCTGAGTAACAACATTAGTTCAAGCTATTTATGTGGGATGCATCTGAGTAATTCACATTTTTTCTGCCTCTACATCTGTACCATTATACCAAAGGTGTGGAGTTTAGAGGTTTACCAGGTCCCCCCGGTCCCCCTGGACCAGAGGCTCCCCCTAGTGGTCTCCACGGACTGGTTTCCTTTGCTGAGTATGCAAACAGAGAACCACCCACAGCAGAACAACAACAATACATCAACAGTGAGTTTAAAAGAATACTCACTCAAAACATACATGAGATTAATTAAGAGTACAATCTTTACATAGACCTCAACATAAATGTTACTTCATAAAGCTATCTTCATCAAAGTCACATATTGTGACCCAATGTTTGCTGAGTCATTGCTCCTTATGCAATCATGTTATACTGTATTGTCAGGTGATGGTATGAGAGGAACTATGTTCGGACTTCCTGGTGCACCAGGCCCTCCTGGACCCCCAGGACACAAGGGAGAGCCAGGCGAATCTGGCACAAGGGACAGCATCCTGGATACTGGTGACTACTCCAGCATGGCTGTCAAAGTAACTGATTACATAAAATGTAGGTGATTTAGAGGAAGTTTAGTGTAAACCTCATCACTAAATGGTCAATACCTGAACCTTGCTTTTAATATAATACCATTTTAATAGTTACCTGAGCGCTACTGAACTCTACTGTCCCCTTCATGCAGCCCACGGTCTGCTCCGTGGTGTTGCTGGAAACTCTGAACGTTTTGTTCAAGGACCTCCAGGACCTCCTGGACTTCCTGGAATGCCTGGACAAAGCCAATTGGCTAGCTCCCGTGAAAATATCATGGATGTTGTGGAATACATCAAATGTAAGTCGATATGAGCTTTATGTGCTTTTGTTTTAAAAAGCCAGTAGCTTTTAAGAAATAATTGTACTGAGAAGTACCAAAAAGGTAGCTGAATCTAGCAAGACAATGGCCAAGTAGGCAACACTGTCTTCCGCTATCCACACGACTGTCACAGGATGTATTGAACATTTTAGGTCCCAAACACAGAACATAAGGAAAGCCGATATACATAGCTAAAGGTGTGATTAAGAAGATGTAAAGCTGGCAGGCAAAAACACAAGGGCAGCAGGGTTATTACACACCAACCCAGTCTCACAGCATTTCGTGTTATAGTCACAACATTTAATCTATTGATTCGTGTTCACCAACACAATTTTCCGCTTTTTTTCGTGTCACAGAACAATTTTAAAAGCAATATACTTCTATTGGTAGTATGTTTCGTGCCTGCACCACGTCTTTTTGTCTGGTCGGGTCTTGGAAGACCGGAAGCTGTGTGGTTCATAAAAACATGTTCTTACTCAATATCAAGCCATGATTATTGTTTTTATTACGTATAATATCTGACTTTTTTTGGGGTCCATGAGGAAAATAAATGGGGCTCAGAGCCTCAGAATACTGAAATCTATATTTTTTAAATCTTTTTTTCCTTCTAATTTGTTATTATTTTCGAAATAACACAATGTTATTTACTCAACAATAACGCACAATTATCCTTGTTTTTATTTATTTGTTTAATTCTATAATCTCTGGCTTTTTTGGCGTCCGTCAGGAACTGAATTTCAAAATAAAATAACCAGAAACATAGGTTCCTTCTCACTTCGGTTAAATGGATTCCTTGCGTCACTCACTTGCGTCGTTTCCCTGTGACTAGTCCCTCCCACCAGGGAAGTATGGAGAGACGCAAGGAAACCACGAGAAGCAGAGAAAATGAGTTTTAAGAGCAATGGGACGTCCTTGAAACATTATTTTCCTGACTAACCCCCTGGCTTAAAGCCTCAATAAATATTGCAAATAATAATGGACTTATTGGACAGCCTTGTCTGGTCCCTCTTTCCAGGCCGAATGATGCTGATATGTCCCCATTTATTTTTATTTTTGCCCTTGGGTCATTATAAAGTGCTTGAATGGTTCTAATAAACGATGGGTGAAATCCAAATTTCTGTAATGTTCTATACAAGAATTCCCAATT